AGTCCGACCGCCGCCAGCCGCCCCCTTCTCCCCATGAGGTGAAGCGCTGGCGTCCGCCGCAAGCCCCGTCAGCGCGGGGTAAGGAAGCATGCGTGGCCGCGAGGCACGCTGGGACCGCGGCCCGCCCGTCGCGGCTGAGGGAAGCCGGCTGTCTCCTCCCCTCCTCGCACGGTGTCGGGCTTGTGTCTGAAGGGAGAAAGAATTCTAGAAGTACTAAAAACAGGGTTTAAGCATTCACACTAAGATTAAATACAGCACTGGAAGAAAAAAGAATGGTAAAATGCTCTTATCACTAAAGACATGGTGCACCATTGAGTGATAGACCACACACCAAAGAGGGCTGAAGATGCTTAAAATAAATATTTACCACAGAACAGTAGAGTAGGAAGTGTTTGGGAAACTTTTTATTCAGTGTTGGACTACTTGGTGTAACCTTCTGAATAAAAGCACATTTTTACAGTTAAAACTGCTTACTCCTATCCTAGTCGCTTGAGCAGTTAACTTAGTTGCACAATCCTCTACAAAAGATTCAAATAGACATTCATACATTTAAAAGCCGCACAAGCCTCGATGTATTTATACCGCTGTGCTCCATTATTTCACCTGTTCTTTTTGCCTATCCACAATATCCAATGGTGGTACTATAATGGCAACTGACAGACTCCGCTGGTCTGCTGCAGCATTATCATGGCAACTTATCATCACGCTGCCTTCAGCCTTCCTTCTTCTCGCACCTCAAAGCCTCCTCAGACATAGCCAGGACAGCTCCTATGAAAATACGGAACACAGGTCTTCACATGCAGTGAGGCTTCATTTCCGAGAAGCTGCCAGCAGAGATTCAATGTCTTGAATTACTCTAGAAGTTTTTTCCAAAGCCTCCAAGACACACCCTTCATTGATTTCTTCCGGCTTGCTCCCGTTTTCTGTTTTTCTGGCAGTAATACCAGATGGGTTGTTTTTTGCAGCAGATGTCCTTTCCAGAACATTGCTATTATCCAATAAAACTTGTGTTATTTTGTTAAGAAAAAAATATCAAACTCTTCCTCTTAATGAGAAAAATACTTCTCCGTATTTGTATTCATCATTCTGCATTGCAAAGTCTCACACTTCATAGCATAGCAATTACATGAAGCAAAAAAAAAAAAAAAGGAGTATATTACTTAAAATGTCTACAACATTTATAGAAAATGTCTTTAAGGCTTCCATTTATCCAAAAGTTACTTTAAAAAGGAAATTATCTGATGCCACACTGCACAGTTTAACAGCATGCACTTTTCATACTAATAAAATCAAACACTGGCTGAAGGACAATTACGGAGTGGCTTTAACCACATGCAGCGCAGCACACTTTTTTGAACAAAATGGAACAAAACTGAAGTAGGTGATAAACAGAAAGGTATTGTACTGCAACAAGCCCAAAGGCAGCTGCATCATCCCTCTTTCAAGAGCAGACCAGTAAATGAGCGTTAGCAAAACTAATGCAATAACCACTGAAGAGCTTCCTTTTTCTGATGATTTTTTATTTTAGTTTTGTACCCTGCCACTGGTTTTTCTTCTGGTGCTGTGATGCAGAACTTGGACAAGATAAATGATAAAACAAAAAATGATAAATAAGGTAACAAAAAACGGCTTAAAAAGCTGAACAGCATAGACAGCCTTTGATAATCTAAAATGCAGACCTGAACATGCAGATGAACAACAGAATATAAAAATGAAAAACATTTACAGCTTTAAAAAGGATACAGTTAAATCTCTGTATTTTTTCGAGCTCAGCATCAGCAGACCTGTCCAAGAAAATACAGATTATTAAACAATTTAGTATCATTAAAAGGTTCACAAATGTATTTTCTACTTCACATTTTAATTTTTAATAGTTTCCAGTAATACTGAAAATTAGACAAGCAAAATCCCAAGTGAAAAAAAAATTATTTTTGTCTTTCATACCACTCGTCAATGGCTGCCATTTGTCAACCATTTATTTTTCCAAAATTCTCTGCTCTAAGAATAGTTTCTCTGCTGTATGTATGGATACATTTTTGTTTCATCAGCTACTGAATCTGCTATAATTTGAATAACAAGTGCAAGTGTCATTATTTCAACGAAAACATTTTTAATACCCAAATATGTTTGTATATGATGCCAGTAGACCTTTGGTCAGTAGCATGTATTAAAAAAGACAAATATATTAGCAAGAGGTACAAGTGTCCTTCAGCAGTTCAAAGTACTATTTTGAACTGCTTGGTGTTCTGTTAAAGGATGCCTTTCTTAGTCTAGCTTCAATTTTCCACCTTGCAAGATACTATCTCTGTAACATTAATCCTCCCTCGGCAGAGTCACCATAATTCTCATTTTTACGTAAGACAGGCAGAAACGCAATGAAAAAAGCTTTACCTAAAACTCACCTTACCTAACATTGTAAACACTGAAAGAAAAATATGAAACCACATAAAATAAATCGACTTACAATTTTCATTTTTGACCCTTAGGAAATGCAGTCTATAAAATTCACAGTTTATAGTCTTTTTGAATTTTTTTTTCAACATTATTTGTAGTTTATCAATTATTCAGGATAAAGATGAATACCAATTTTCTTCCGTTACAGAGCATGCAGTATATTCAGGAATCTCCTTCCTTTCATGCAAACTTCTGCACCATTCTATTGCTGTTCTGATGTACCTATGTTGACATGAAAATTCACAAAGAAGTAGTTATTTATATGAGAAATACACTCTATTAATTCAAGCAAAAAACTGAAGGCATTAAGCAGTACACCTCAATCTGAAAGAAAAAGGTGTGATTCAAAATATAGCTTTTTCTCTAAATTCCCTTGCCATTTTCCGATTCTTGCTTTTTGTCTAGAATCTCCTCCTTATTTAAATCTATGCAGTTATGGAAAATTAAATCAAAGCTATATGATTTGTAATGAAGAGTGTACAAATGTTAATTTTTGTTTGTGAGTATCTGCTTGCTAAAATGCAGCACAATATGATTCCCATAATGAGGCTGTAATTACAGCAAGCAGATTAAAGAAAGCAATCTGCAGGCAGAGGTCAATATCTGTAATAAAGTAAAAATTGGATAAAGTGCTATCCAGTTCTATGTACCAGCTCTATATAGAACAAAGATTTTTTCTTTTTTTCTTATCCACTGATGTAAGTGCCACATTGTGGCTCTAGTTGTTTTTTAAAAAAGACATTACTGTAACAATTCTAATTGAATGAAGTTACACAGTGGTCCTGAGTCATACAGGTCCTGAATCTTTGCCAGATGTAAGATGGAGCTTTTATCATTACGTGTTTGGTTCCCTCCTCCAAATATATTTTCAGTAAATATGATTTCTTCATATAAAAGGATTTCTACAGAATTCTGTTATATTTAATTTTAAATTGTTTAAATTATTTATACCTTTCATAGATTCCAGGATGACTTATTTGTACTAGCTGCTGTACGCCATCAGGAGTAGTTAACTTACACCAGCCTACATCTTCATTTATCTTAGAAGAAAAAAAAAAACAAGTATTGATTTTCTGCTGCAGTCTGAAGAAAAAAAAGCAAGTAAAATATGCCAATTGAAGAATTAAGTATCTATGAACATTCTACTTTAAACACCTAAAAGTTTGTGTTTTGCTAAGGATAAAATTTGATATAGTCTGCTATTACAAATGTGAGGGGGGAAAAAAAAAGAACATCTGGCATAGTCCCAAAAGTCATTCTGTGCTATTCAAGAATAAATTATTTCTAGAAGCGGGTAGAAATGTTTCCAAACCTGTGGAATTTTCAGTTCTTCCTCCTTTTATCATGAGTAAGTGTAGAGATTTGAGCTAGCTCACATCAGTAACTTACACAATCTTTTGACACACTATCATATTTATATTGTTTGTACTAAAGATATCCTCAGATACTTCAGCATCTTTTTTGTGTCTTGTTACTTTAGGGTAGTAACACACAGAAGCCAAAAATCTCAGCAGTCAATCTTGAATCGCACGCTCACAGAATTTTCTCTGTAATGCCATTTTGCAAAAATCAACATAATCTTTTTGCTTCTATATTAAGTAGATTTAAAATGTATATGGAATACCATTTGCTCAAGGTTACTTTTACAAGTAATTTTTCACTATCCATTTGCTCAGTGAAGGTAATTTTTAAATAAACCCCCAAATATTCTGATCAACGTGAGTGACTTCTTAAAAGGATAAACTTTCATTTCCCTCTTTAGGCATCAGTTACGCACTAAAATGTTTTTTCTCCTTGTTTCTGGTTAAAATACTGGCAATACATTACTGGTGGTGTTTGCAGATAGTTCCTATGTTCATTTAGACTACTATACAAGCTGAAGAGTAAGACACAGCAGCTGTGCTGTGAGTTATGAATCTCTCAAAAGACTTCAGTTTGTATTTTATAGACATCAAAACTTCTGTTTTGTTTCCTCACTAGTTTCCTAGTAACACATTTTCATGAAGAGTTTTAAGAATAGTCATTCCTCTAATTCATGAGTTACCTGGATCTTACTACAGGAAGAACTTAAATCCCAGACCATATTCAAGGTCATCCCATCCCAAAAAGCAGCATGGATTTTATGATCCGAGTACATGACAAGTCTTCCTACACTGGGAATAACCTCTTCATACAGCAAAACTGGCAACATTTCTCGTCCATCTGTCTCAGGTACCTAGAACCAAACAAACACATTAAAAGCTTGAGGAAAGGTTACTTACATCACTACAGCTGTTTGTACCTGTCCCAGACTTTCAATTCACTTATTTTTCCAGATCACGGTCAGCTCTCTTTATCATGAAATTGCTTTCTGCTTCACAAATATACCCTTACGCTGCATGTGTTTGGTTCCCAAATATGTACCTCTGATCTTTGAGATATCTCACCATTCTTCCCTCTAGATTAGGTCCTGTTCCCTATGGCCCGTATAGCCATCCTCACAACACTGATAGATGTATAAACCTTCAGCTACATACCATTTTCCAGCAGCAGAGATAATAGTTATGAGTTAATGATAGTTTAGTCTTGTAGCAGTACCGAAGTATTCTGAGGAGACAAAAAACAAAACCAAAGTATTGAGCATTTCATACTTACTATGTCTTCTAAACAGCTGCAACCTTTGTTCTGTAAGTTTATAGGCATCCTCAGTGCTAATATGAATTCAATTTTATACTTAATGTCGTAATAAGTATTATGTGTAATTTTAATTACTGTCCTTTCAAAGTCAGAAGAATTAATGTAATAAAGATAAAGCAGAGTACAGTTACCTGGTTGCTTGAGTAATAATGGAGGATACAGAGTACAGATTTCCTGGTACATCAGGAGGTAGGCTGTTTACCGAATACATCTTTTCTTCTCTCTGCAGAAAAGAACAGAAAGGGGACGAGTTAGTTACAGGTACGGTAGCATGAAAACCATATTAAAAGCTTGAAAGATAAAAAATTTCTGACCTCCCAGAAAGCAATTACAATCACATTTATATTTGTCCCAGAACATAGATAAGTATCTCCTTGAAAAGTGAAAAAAAAAAGCAGATGTATCCTTTAAGCCTGCTTCTGTGGAAGGAAACATTCAGAGTTTCCATGCACTCAGTACAGATCAAGAAGTTCTCTTATCAGAGAGTAGACTATCGTTCATTACTGAGTTAAAGGTAAAGTTAAAGGTTACGTTCAAAGGGTACAAAGTTGACCCTTAATTCTGCTTTAAAAATACAAAGCACTGCATAAGCACTTGAGAGGATCCCTACTCTGGGGAAACTTAATTATAGACAGACACAGACAGGCAAAACTGTTTCTCTGGCGCTGAACTACCACGGCTGGTCTGTGGCAAAGCCAGAACAGAACCTGCATCTTCTAGGTTCTGTCTCCATATAGGAAAAAAGAAAACACTTCCAAGTACATAAAAATTAAACTCTAATCAATATATTAGTTTCAAGACTAAACTCTTCTAAATTAGTTGTATTATTCTGCAATAAATAGGTTATTGTAGCAGCTTACCATAGTGCATACTTGAGCTTGTGAAATAAATGTTACAATGAGTAAAATTTTTCTTATTCTATCATTTACGAAAACACATTCTGAAACAGAAGTAATAATTTCATTTTTTGTATGATGATTGCTTGATTCAGTCATTACAGTAATCACCAATGTAGGGACTTCCCTATACTCCATAGACGAATGTCTCAAAACTAAGAATACCGCTAACTTGAAGGAATTTGGAATATATTTTTAAATAGCTTTATACCTTTTTTGTTCCTTTTTGGATTGCATAATGTATGAAATAGTTTCCCAAAAATGCTCCCTCTGACTTGAAAAATGAGTCATCACCAGGATAAATTTCTGTGATGTTTGTCCTACCATGGATAAATCTAAGAGAAATAACAAGATTTTTAACAAGTATTTAAAATGCTGTGTCACTAGACAAACAAAACAGGTTAGTACACCCGAAGAAAGCACTAAGCAGGAACATATTTTCAACACAACTCGCATGAAAAACTTTCTACAGTTTCACAAACAGCAAAGTGTACCAATTATTTAACACAAAAGATCAGTATTACCAGACTCTTTGTTTGCATGTGTGCATGGTGGGCGTGAGTTAAACAAGCTATGGAAAGCTTTTTTGTGCTGAGGTAAAAATCGCACAAGAACTGCTCCTTCCACTCACCACAAAACATAGTGATTCCAAAGAGAAAAGTCCAATTTTCTTAGTGGACCAGCCCTACCTAGTGTACACAGAGAACTGTCAGACTGAACGATTCCTTAACAACATGAAGATCTTCATTTCCACAGCAGTTGTGTTTTTCACCAAGATCAATGATCTTGTACTTGTGATCATACAGAATCTTGGAGCCTAAAAACCATTTAATGACCCAATTCTGCAACTCTGGTTAGATGCCTGGACTTGGATAATGGGACTTACAAGACTAAGTATGGCTACTCACTGTACTTCCAAAGAAGTGAAGTGTAGTACTAAAGAGCTGCTGAAGATTTTGTTCAGATGAAATGTAAATTTAGGAATTACACTGAGAAAAATGAAGAACACTGGGCAGAAAGATTAAAGCTTTAAAGACTGATTATGCTTTTATCAGACTTTTAGATGCTGATAGCAACAGCAGCATTTCCAGAATTTGCATAACCGGTTTGAAAGGGCAATTCTAAAAAAAAAGTCTTTTTTTAAACCATATGGACAAGGTGATTTGCCAGGAAAATCCACAATTTAGCTGCCTGCAATATGCAAATTATGTAGGTCATCACGACAAACACTTCTAAAGCGTGAAATCTTCAGCATCAAAAGGAGCAATGTAATTTGCAAAGAAACCAAGCACCATAATTGTCAGTGAAGTCTGTGGGAGCTCCAGCTGTTCAGTAAACCTTTAAGAAATCAGATAACCAGATAAATTCTTTAAAAGCCTGAAACTTGATTTCAGATTGTTTCAGACATAACCACTTTCAGGGCTGAAATATACCATACCAGAAAATTTGAAGTCCAGTGAACAACAAAGAGCAGAAATGAACAGGCTCTTACCTGAAGATGGTGTACCATTTCTCAAAGAGTGAGAATAGGACAAAGTAAGGCATTTAATCTTAAAGCTGAATTCCCATACAAATGAAGTCTTCCAAAGATGCAATACATGATATCCTACATACCTATAAAGAACCCCCTGCCACCATACAATTTGAATTAGCTGAGGGCGTGAATGCTTTTCAGTATCTTGATTCTGAAAGAAGTCACAGAAAGTCCACCTGTATAAAATACAGTAAAAGCTTCAGTAAGTCCAAAGGTCAGGGGTTTTTTAGTGTGCTGGTAATCATTTCTGGACCAAGAACAGATGCATGCACACCTATTCAAGGGAAAAGAGGCCACATATTTTCAGAGTCCTCTGATTCCTTACTTATCTACATTAGTTACCAAATTAGTTTTCTCAAACCTGCAAAGGTTTTTTTTTTATTATTTTTAATGGCGTTGACAGAGAACGTATGCTACTTGCCCACCTCAGAAATATTATCTTCTAAAAAATGAAAAAACCCCACCAACCAACCAACGTAAAACCTGTGTTCTTTTTTCAGTATTCTTTTTTTTTCCATTTACATATTTATAGAGAATGTCAGAAAATAAAATTCATTTTTCTCTGGACTAATTACTATATATTAATTACAGTAGGATACAGAATGTTGCTTCACAAATTTCATGTTTCAAGAAGTTCCTAAAAAAAAGAATATGATAGTATTTATTTTTTATAGATATAATTAAATTGTTTTGCTGGAGGCTGAAGTTCTAAATTGGGAATTGTAAACCATATGTTAACAACTATGAAGTAAGCAGCTTAAATTACCTGTGTAAATGAGGGGCTCTGCAGCTGAGTGGCAAAGCTGTAGGTAAACGACAAACTGTTTCATGTGTTTCAAGGTTTATTAAAACATCAGCTTCTATAGATGTATGGTTGTTTTTCTCATTCTTAACAGTATGTAAGTTATAGCACATTAGTGCCAACGACAAAGGGTATTTCCATTCTTCTGGGTAGGAGGAAACAGACCAGCGCTGTGTAACCCATGTGTACTCAGAAGAACAATTTGTGTAGACTCCATCTCTGTCTTTTTGGTCCTCTGGTTTGGTTGGTTGTCTGTATTTACCTTCAGCACAACCATGTTCATTTTTCTTATTCTCTATTCTCATTTGTTTTGATGACATTTCTGCAACAGAATTTTTACTTGATTTTCCATACTTATCTCCAGTTTGATAGCTGCTGTTTTGAGAGGAGTGGAAGGACGCTGCAGATGACTGGCTGACTTTGCATAAGAACACCACTTTAAATTCGTGCTGCAATTCTGACAGGTAAAGGTGAGCATAACGATCTACCGATGAGATCTTCACACTGCCATTCTCTATACATCTTGTCAGATCAGCCGTAGCAGGGTCAGGCCATCTAACTTCTAAGATATCACTGAAAATAATCTAATACAAGAAAAAGGATTGGAATGTGCAGCAAGATAAAAATTACCTGCTTCCCAGAAATTACAATGGAGGACTTACATTTAAATGAATTCAGTTCTTCTGCAAGGTGTTGTATGGCAAGAAACTTTACTCTGTATTTATTTGCATACATAAACTCAAGAGGCAGCAAAACATCTAACCTGCCTATCTGCTTCCTCCTGTTCTAAGAGAGCTCTATCTAGCAATAATGTTTTCATTTAACATGCATTCATAAATAGTAAGGTACATGGCCAACTCACCAGGCACAACTGCCCACAGACAGTAGATATTTCTGATTCCAACTGCTTCTGAAGAGACACTGGAGAGAAAGCCTAAATTATCTTCATCACATTACTCATCAGTAGACTTCATGGAAAGCCCACGTTAAAATTGTGTACATTAAAACTCCATGTGCTCGGAAATCTTCTCTTTATTTATAAAATTAAAATAAGCCTGTAAAATGGCATGTAACATGTATTTATGTGTTCTTACCAAAATGGAGATTTATTGAAAATGTTTTGCAGCTAGGTGGGTAATCTTACTCAATTCTGCAGCACCGCAGATTAAGTTATACAGTTATTGCTAGGATGTGGATAAAACATATTTCTGAAGAATTTAAAATGTAATAAAGATTTTAGACCTTTACAATACAATATTTGGAAAGTCTCGAAAGGATAGACTTGTCTTACTGCTGCGATATTGAAGTACAGATTGCTGCTTCAATTAGCACTTTTATTCAAACCAAAAATATTTTCACAGCATATGCCCTCATGCTACCCCTTCTACAAAAATGAAGCAGATGATTCTCAACAAATTAAACAAGCACTGTATCTACCTCAAACCCCAGATTAAAGCTTTGCCCAAAGAGAAGATATCATCGTATCTTCTTGGGCATAGAAAATGCACTAATCACCTTCTGAAACTAGAAACATTCTGTCAAGACAGAGAATGCCTTTCTTGCCCTCTGCAGAAGTTCTGCCCTAAATTAAGGTATTTTCCTTTGCATTGTCCCAATCACCACACAGAAAATACCCTTAATCTGCTTTCAACTGAAGACTCCAGGTAAAGCACTGGCTCCCAAATAAACACAGAAATGCCAGCCTTCTCAAGGTTTGAAGAGAAAGTTAGCAAACAAATATTCACAATCCTCATAATTTGTTTTACCTCAATTTAATCAACTTTGTCTCATTTGACTGACCCTTAGTCAGGCATGTTTCAGCCCCTACCATACTTTGGCCTAGAACTGCAAAAGCCTGGAGTCCAATAAAAAGGAAACATGGCAGCACTAGTGTATTAGTAAGGTGGGAATGTCTGCCAAAGGTATTTGGGGCACTAAAGATGAAAATTTACCATAAAGAATTGTAAAAGAACCCTAAAAAAAACAATCAAGTGACCAGACAGTAAGGCTGCAGATAAAAATTCAGTGGAGATAAACGGAACGTGATATAAATGGGGAAAGGCAATCCTTTACGTATAAAAGGATGGGCTCTGAGCTGACTGCCACCATCTAGGAATAAGATCTTGATGTTATGACTGACAGTCCCATGAAACACGCTCTATATTCAGCACCAGCTTAATCAGCCTATCTAATGTTTGAAAATTCTAGGAAAGGAACAAGATATAACCATACCACTGAATATATTCACGGTTAACCTGCATTTTGAATACTATTTGCGGTTTTGAACAGGCCACACCACCACCAAGATCCCCCTCGTCAAGCTGTCTAGAGATATGGTTAGTGTGGCCAAAGCAGAGCCTAAGCAAATTGTAGTATTAGGCTGTTTCAGATTCAAGCATAAGCAAAGTAATACAGTGTAACTGTGCATTTTTTTACCCAGTGGCCCCATAAAAGCATTGTCACTGCTAGTAACAGGCCTTAGGCTAACCATGTCTTACGCTAACTGTGCAAGGCGCTCGGCTGGCCCCTTAGGCTCATTACCAACTTGTTATGAGAATTTGCTGAGTGTACTGGAGCTGGATAACTGTTATCTTGCTGTAATGGATTGCTGAAGTGTGGGAAATAGCAAAGGCCTTGAAAATACGGACATCTGTTGTGAAGAGGCCACAGAACAATAAACTGACAGTAAATTACTGAAGTACAATCTCAAGAGCTAAAAAAAGACTGCTTTTGAGAAAAGCAGCAGTTGATAAACCGAAGGGAGAAGAAAAAAATAAAAAAGCAAAAAAACCTGCCAAGCAACAGGGTAAGGCACTTGCTGTGGCCTGTGACAGGTATCCCTCAAGACCCTGCAGCAGGTAGCCAGTCGAAGCTGTAAGTTAGAAATTGCCTAGAAACCCAGCCATCTTCCAGAAGATGATCCTGGCCTGTGGGAGGGTGGAGGTTACCCACTAGTGCCAACGACAGAGCGCGCATCAGCCCTGTGCTGCTGTACCTTGCAGTGAACACACAGTATGACTGTTAGGTATCTAGTGGTATTGATTGACTGTGTTCAGCAACTAAACATTGCCACGAAAGGTGTTACTAATGAAATATCAGTCATCTTAAGAGTCCCACCACAGTGTGTACACACTCGCATGCAATAAGTGGGAACATGAGGGGTGCTGATGAGGAGTAAAGCTCCTAGAAATTGTAAATGGGGTCTCTGGATGGACCTGCAGTCTGACCTGACGTAGCCATTTCCACATGCTGTCCCAGTCCTCTCCGAGGCCCAGGAAAACACTCACACAGGGACTTCAATGGGGAGACAATGGGGTTCTGAACCTGACAGCTCTCCTATTTCACCAAGTATTTCACCCTGAAAAGTTTCAAATGTGGAAAAATGACAATACATAAAATTCTAACATATGTACAAAATCCTAGGTTTTAGTCTTACGAAATGAACTCCTTCCTGTTTGGCTACAAAGGTTATGCATAACTAGAGGACTAGGTAACAATTAAACCTGTAATTTAAAATGGCAGTGTTCTAATCAAGTTGACAAATGCATTAGCCAAACTGTACTCTGTGGATCTTTCAAGGCCTGTGCTCATAGCCACGCACATAAAGTTACATGAGTCCACTTTGTCATACTACTAGAGAAGTTTATTTCACAAAAGCATTACATGTGTAACTCTCACCTTTTTTCTTTCTGGGGGTATAACACGTGAAGGTAAGTACGGACGAGAAGAAAACTTGTTTCGGAAATACAGAGCTCGTAGAAGTCGTTCCTAATGAAGCATGAATAAAAACATAACCCGGTTGTAACTTGAACTTTCTACATAGTGATAACATTTTCGCTGATTTCATCCTCTTTCTGGAGCAGAGGCTAAGGAACGCGCCCCATTTCGCACAGAGGCACAAGAAGTTTGTTTTTACTGTGGAGCCGAGAGAACGCCTCCTGCGCCACGGCCCGTTCCCGCGCAGCCGGCC